TCTTTTGCTAACGTGATAGAATATTAGCCTCAAGCATTTTTTTTAGCGAATGTGCTTGGTCTTTCTCTAATTGGGTCAACAGAAGCCTAAAAAGTTAAAAAAAAGAAAAAATAGGAGGAGGCTGGCACAGAGGTGCACCGCCGGCTAAATGGCTTTTCAACTCACAGTGACGGTTAAAAACTCCACTTACAGTAATGATAACAGGATGGTTTAAGTACTTCATGAAAATGGAAAAAAAACAGGTGACGTTTTCAGCCCATGTTAATATTCTAAAAATGTAAAAAATACATTTGAGCCATTAGAATTAGTTTCGAGTGCTGTGGCCATTTAGAGCCACACGACATAACAAGAGGCAATGTTAAACATGGTGTATGTCACAATGCGCCACCATGGAAAAGAGTTAATTTTCCTTGGGCTGGAGAATTTAGTTGCAAACCTGCTCATCACCATAAACATGTCTGGGATATTATAGGGATGCGAGCCCCACGAGGACAGACCCATTGTAACCTTCGATAAAACACAACATATCCGTGTGCTACGTGCAAATGATCACAGGCAATTAAGAGCTCGGTGTGTGAGATTGCAAGAATCATGTTTAACAGCCCCACTGGGGTGTAAACCTCAGTCAGACAGCACGCAGACACACACATGTGCCCTGTAAATTAAACTGAGCTGCATCGTAACAGCTTAGTGAGGCCTGTGCCACACATCAACGTAGATACGTAATAAATATCAATATCTGCCTCCATTTATTGGCACGAGGATGACTATAATAATTATTATAGTGGCCCTCCATTGGTATTTGTTGTTTTTATATTTCTACTTTATTACTCCTTTTTACTCCTGTGTACTTTTAACTACACTTTCCCGTGTCCCATGTGGACCAACATTTACACTGTACTGTTTCCTGTCCGGCAGAAACCAACTTTGCGAGCACTGCATGCACAATATTTTTGAAACGTCACCCCCCCCTCCGAGATCTGCATGCAGCCTTGTGGCACTCTGCTCCCCAAATTCTAGGAGGAGACAAACTGCAGCCATTCAACCTCAACGCAGCCGTTGACTTCGCCTAACAGCTTCCGCTCCTGCATGACATATTATACATCCCGGAGCCTGCTGCGTGTGCAAGATTACAGTGGCAAAGTGCAGCCTAATGTGTCAGAGAGGCAGTTTCATGTCCCATTATGGATACCAGGGTCCTGACAAACTGTAAAGCATCCAGATGCAATTTGTCCCCTTGATGCTGTTGGTGGATAAATATCCTGCTGCCCTCTCTCTCTCTTTTTGTGCATCTGTCTCTTGACATTTGGTTTGTGCCACGTTTACGAGTCTTTTTGATGATGATTGATGGATTTTTTACGTCTGAGGCTGAAAGTTTGAGGCGTGTACTTAGATATTTATGATTCTGTTGAGACTGTTGCGCTCTGATTGGGGTCTGTGAAGATCAGGGTGTTACCTCTCTAATGGTTTTAATAGCTAATCATGTTTGAACGCCGCCTGAAACACCGGCTGCAGTCAGGGCTGATGTCACACCAAATTATTGAATGTTCTCCAGGCCCTGCTGTCTGGTTCCTGTGTTGAAAAAGTTGCGAGTTGACCTTCTGTTGCATTTGAACTCCAGCCGCAAGTGATTTCTAACTTTTAGCTGTGTTGCCGGGAGAAACATTATTTTTTAAAACCTCAATCAGGCGTTTTGACAAAATACTCTTACAGAACAGAGGCAGGATTACACGCATACGCACCTTGGAGATGCCCAGAAGAACCAGAGTCTCTCACCGGTGGCCCATGAGCGGATCAGTGAATGTTTCTTCCTCATGTGCTTTGACGGTATTATTCAAAAGACCAGCGTCTCTGCCAAATGATGGTTGTGTGAACTGATAAAGGCTTTAGCCCGGGGAGAACTGTTTTAGATGCTATCTGTGTTTTGTTTCAATTATAGCAGGGATCACAGAGACTGCCAGTGACCAGCTGACAGCTAATCCCTCAGGACAGGAAACTAGTTGCACAGCAGCTGATGTCATCCGAGGTTAAACGTCCCTTCTCGATGAGGCGTTCTTCACAGGCAGACACATCCAGCTGTTGTTCCTTTCTATCGTTCGGCTACGTGTAAGATTATGGAAAGGACAGATACAGTAGACGTCAGTGCGTCTATGTTGCCTCCCTCAGCATTGATATACATCGCAAGAGCCGCCCACACACTGGGAAGAGATGTTTGATAAAATGCAAAAACAACTGAACAGTCACTCATCAAAATTGAGATTTTAACCTCCGACACAGCAACAGCATGTGGGATATGAGAAGTGGTCCACTTTAAGGAGGGAGATGGCGTCCGCTGGATGCTTTACCCCTCGCTGTGTTTCATGGTAATGAATGGCAGCTAATGACCCCCACCTCTGCTGCTGGCTCCGCCAGTGTGCCGGTGGCTGTCTGGGAGATGAGAGGAGAAGAATGAGGGGGTGAAGAGGTAGGGAGAGGGGAAGGGAGAAGGAGAGAAGGACACACCAGGGGGCTGTCACACCTCGTACAAGCCCCAGTGCTGAGGTGGGAGTTTCAGCACGGTCGGATCAAACAGAGAGGTGTTGCAGAGAGGAAGTGGGGGCGCTCAGTAACACGTTAAGATGCTGTGTTGTTCACAGTTGCGTTGCATGATGTGGATACGAGTCAGACCCACAGGTGCTCGGTAGACCTTGAAGCCCGCCTTTCACTTCTCCTCATTTTCACCAGTTGCCATAACTATGATGTGTTATTTCATGCTTCATTAACTGCTTTATGTTTCTGTCTCATGATTCTTCCAGCCACAGGGATCTGAAGCCAGAGAACCTGTTGCTAGATGAAAAGAACAACATCAGGATAGCAGACTTTGGCATGGCCTCCCTTCAGGTCGGAGACAGTCTGCTGGAAACCAGCTGTGGGTAAGTAATATACAAAACACTGCAATGGAAACCTTGTCTAATGAAATGTCCGCCTCACATCCTCATGCACAAAAAGACCTCGGCCCTAAACATATCGAGTGTTTTTCATCAAATCCATGAATTATTCAATGAGAAATCAACGAAAACGCCTCCAAGTGTTAAAGAAAGTGGAAAGAAAATCCTGGATCTGCCCCCTAATCAACAATATATCCATAAATTGATTCTTTCCAGACCCATACTGCATCCTTCCACCAAGTTTTGTTATAATAAAAGTCAAGTTTTTTGCGTAATCCTGCTAACAAACAAACAAACACAGATGAAAACCTGACCTCTATTGTTGGAGGTAATTTAGATAATGCTAAGAACTAAGAAGTCATAGTTGGGGGACAGGTGGAGTTTGTGGTTGATGCAGAGAGGAAAAGAAGAGGAGGATGTTTTGGTTAAGTTTGCTTAACCTTGTTCTGCTTTGTTGTCCTTGTTTTTTTGTTTATTTGTCTATTTCTGTGCATTGAGATTCAAATTCCTTGCACGTGTACTCATACATGGCCAATAAAGCTGATTCTGAGTGGAGCTATCGAGTCCTCCGCGAGGTGCTGTGTTCTCGAAGCCTCTGTTATCGTGCAGTGTTGATCTCCTGAGGAGAGACAGTTGGTGTCTCTCACAGATTGCGCTGTCTCGCTGTGAGCAGGCCAGGGCCACGGCCACACATTACGGCTCTCCGTCTCCTCATCTCAGGCTCTGGGTTTTATGATCCTGCAGTCAGGAACACGCCAGGCCCATCAATCCCACAACGACTGTAATGAATTCGCTCACAGGAAAAGTCACTTTCAAAGTTTTTCATATATGGTCATTCATGTGGTGGGAGTGTTTTTTTCATTTATTTAACCCTGAAGTGTGCTGAACGATATACAGTTTCGCAATTGTCAATAAAAGCAGCTCTTTTGATCGTGGTTTTCTTTTGGTACTTGGTTTGTAAAGTTTGTGACAAGGTGGATTAACTAGAGGTTTTTACTGCAGCACAGAAACTTATCCTCTGACTTTCATCTCACTCTTATATTCAAACTTCAATGTGAATTCAATATGAAGTAATAATTATAATTATAACAGGCATAGATGAAGCAAATTGACATTGTTTTTATTATTAATTATCAGCTTCTGCCAAGGAGGCATTTTCACATTTTCACATAATTTCCAAGGGAATAATTCACTGATCTTGATTTTAAAAAACACATTTCAAGGACTAATATTTATGAGTGTGCACCATTTGTTGGAGATTCAAATAAAAATCTGGAACTATTAAATGTGATGTCATATGGGGTAGGCTGCAAAGTATGAGGACAAACAGTGGATGAATCTGATGGTACGGACAGCCCATTAGATGTAAACCAAAGTATGAGGCACCATCTATTTCACATCGTATTCTTTTGCAGGTTGGTGGTGCTCTGGGAGAATCTTTGCTCTGTGGTTGACACTGTTCACAGGGCCGAGGGTTATATTGGGCCCTGTGACATCTGTCCCCAGCTCAGACCTGATTCTGTCCAGATTATACCTCCAAATCAGCTGCAGCTGCAATTACACACACTCGCATACACGCAATTCACCAAACACGCATGCGCACATGTAGCCGGCGAGGCTTAGCTCATCCCTGACCCTCGAGACCCTTTGTCCCCTTCCTGTTTGGTCGTCTCTCTGGCTGTCCCTTTCCGTCCCGGACACCCTCACTCTCTTAAAATGTGCGTTCAATCCAATTCAATTTTTTATTGCGACAAATGACAACGTATCTCAAGGCGTTTTACATGCATGACTGCTCATTCAACCATGGAAACACGTAAGCAAACAGTTGAAGCTGTTGCATAATTATTTTCGAACAGTCTCACAGAGCATAAACTCATGACTCATCCGTGGAGCTCAGGCGAACTGAGAGCAGCTTGCAAAGCTATTTGCAAGTAAAATGTGCACGACTGAGTCATTCTGCAGCCATGATGACCACATTGAAGTGTTTCCTGTTCCTAGAAAGGCCACATAATGCGGCAGCTCTTACTTAGCTTTTTGCAGCTGCGCCTATATTTGATTGGAGTGTTTGTGCTAACTGATCCCGTTGCAGTGCATTTGCTCAGTCCCCCGCGTACATTTACAAAGTGCTTAAGGCACTTGTTGCAGGTGGGAACACAGTGTTGTCTTACAAAGATGCAAGCACTAACACACACCACAAACACACACACACACATGCGATGCGCACACACACGCACACACACACACACACACACACTCCCACACACAGTCAAGCAAAGTAGTTCTGTTTTCTTTCCACTCAGCTCCATATCCACTTCTGCCTGCGTCTGAGTCTCACAGGAATGTGGAAGCTCTGTGTGTGTTTTGTGTCATGGCCTAATACGTGTAGACGTGTGTGTGTGTCTGTGGGTGTGTGTGTGTGTAGATATTGATTATTCATGCTCTTCTGACTGTCCCATCTCTAAGTGTAGATATGACACTTTATAATTAAATGCATTTATCTGGCCCTCTCTCACTATGCAGCAGTCTGACAGAAATGTATTCCATTTGCAACGGGTAATGGAGCTGAGTGAAGCTGAGACTCGCCTCAGGAGGAGTAGGGGGAGCCCCGGAGCACATACATAAATACATGCAGACATGCAGATCTATAGATGAGCAGAGGCACTGACAGGCACATACAAATATATGGATGCAGTGACGCAGGCACACGACCGACTTCTCCGTCTCCTTCCGGCCGCACGAGCCCATCAGCGGCGATTTCATCATCGCTCGCTGTTTAGTTCTGTTACACTGATTGATTGAAGGAAATTATCTTGTGTGCAGAGAGTAGCCACACAAATCTGACTCAACAAGATGGATTTTTCATGAAAATAAGCAGCAGGAACTCATCTATTGACTCCATGATAACTCTTTGCTATGGAGGAGTTAGGGGCTTATAGCAATCAGTAAGAAAAGACAAATCTAATGTGTTCAGAGAGAAGTGTATTTATATCCTAGTCGATCATTTTAAATCCCGCTGTGAGCAGCAGGTATGGGCTTACATATGAGACCAGTATTTGAATGCTATCACCTAAATGAGCTTTATTTGTAAGTTTAAAGTCTGAAACTGTTACTGGGACCTGCAGTTGTTGAGCAGTGGTGAGTAAAGACCGGCTGTAGGACTGCTGTCTGATCAACAATGTCCCAAACGTTGATTAGTCCCAGCCACTGCTGGCACAGAGCAAGTTTATTCAAACTTTATAAATATTGAATGTACTGCATGTTTGAATTGCACCAAACTCAGCATCGTACTTCCTCTGGCATTTAACAATACACATGCCACGTGTGAAGGAGCTAAGATGAGCGGTTCTCAAGATGTGCGAGCCACATACACACAAACAGATTTCTGGAGATGTTAAATGGACAGATGTTGTCCTATGTCCATGGCTGTCTGATAGAAATGGGTTTTTGACAAATTTGAATTCAGCTCAAAGCAGAAAGGTGCAATGCTTGTGCTCCAGTCTTCACTCTCACCCTGGGTTTGCCACCCGAAGCTTCTGCAAATAATGAGTCTTTATTCACGCTGGCTCCAGCTCCGGCTCGTGGCTCTCATGAGGCATAACTAGTGCAAATCTCAGGCTTGTTGTTTTTATTTATTTATTTTTACAGTCCTTGCTCATCTGCATAATGCACTATGACACTTGCAATCAGGAAGGACGTATTTGCATAGGCTCGCATTTGAACTTCCCCCTGTTGACACGGTGGCAGCGATTGTTATCGGCCAGTATTTTGACAGCCTCGGGAAGCCAAGCCGTCAGAGTTGGTATTCATGAACGCCCAGGACAGCAGCCGGGCTAATGGGCGCCATGTTTACAGAGATCAGATACTCTCTCATTACTGTAGAACCGAATACTCTGCTGTTAAATAAAAACGGAGCAGGAGAGGGAGGTGGAAGATGTATCAGTGGGGGTAAGAGGTTTGGGGAGAGAGGTGCCTGGTTTTGCTTTCTCTTTGCTGTCACATGAGAGGCAAAGAGACGTCCGGAAATAAAATGCAGTTTGATTAATTTAATTATAAATTGATGCAAAGCTCTTATCCCCCTATTGGATGGCAAGATACTGAATTTGGAAATCCGACAACGTCACAGCACACGGGAAAGTTCCACCGGGCACATAAAAGAATAACTCTCATCCACAGCCATTGGCTTACGGAGCAGCCGTTGTGAGGTAGCTCCATAAATCTTCATACGATATTGATGTGTCAATCTAGTCATTGGGTTTACTGTCAGCCCATCCAGGTGCTGTAAAGATTAGTGGGTCTGTTCGCTGTCTGCTGTGAGAGGATGCCCTTGAGTGAGCAGGCAGGAGGACATCCAAACACCCTCAGGATATCTAAACTCCCCGAGCACATCTTGATCTATGTTTGCCGGAGACATTTATTATCTGCCTATATTGTTCTTTTCACATTAACATACAGCGTATGACTGTTCAATGTTTGCTGTGTCAGGATTGTATAACCCTGTGTTTCTTTGCAGTTCATGGATAAGACCTCAGATAACTCAGATATTTTGCTTTCTTCGGGTTTTATCCTTAAGTCATTCAACTGTTTGCACTTTTCTGTGTTTTCCCACAGATCTCCACACTACGCCTGCCCAGAGGTCATCAGGGTAAATCATTTTTTTACACATTTAGAGGATCTTTTCTGCTCCACTTGCTACTTTTTCATATCTCTCCATGTTATTTTACTTAGCTCTAACACTCTGTCCAAACCCTCCGACACTCTCTTGTCCTCAGGGAGAGAAGTATGACGGGAGGAAAGCAGACGTCTGGAGCTGTGGGGTCATTCTATTTGCCCTGTTGGTGGTGAGTGTCCGCTTGTTCCTCACTAACTGAAAGTTATTATGCTGGCGTTCAGTTTAAACTTCTACAGTGGACCATGAAGTGTTCCCAGCCCTTTGTAAATGTGTGTTTAGCCTTTATCATATGGCTCAGAAGGTCGGCGGTTTGATCTCCTTCATTCCGTGTGCTGCAGTCCTGACGACTGTGCCACTAGTGTGTGATTAATATGTGATAGAGAAAGTGCTGCACATAGATGCACTGTATTAAAGGCAATGAACTGTAAATCTCTTTGAGTGGTCATCAAGACTAGAAAAGCTCTTTATAAATACAGACCATTTACTATTTATACTAATTTTGAGTTCAACATACTAAGAACTCCAAACAATAACAGTTTGTCCGACTGCCATCCAGTTTCTGGGTCTTCCCATTACCTGTCCACTCGTAATTCACAAAGCATGTGAATTGACCGAGCACGGGATCAAATCACCGGCCATCGTCATCACATTCACGGTATAAAAATTGCCCCATAAGGTTGTTGCCGTACAAATGTTCTGCAAGATTCCCTCAACATCTGACAAACCAAAACTCAGGACGTTGAGTCAACACACTGCAGGCTCCATCGACTCATTTGTAAATTTGACATTACCCAATTCCAGCAGTTGAATTAACCAGCTGTGTGCTTTGTCATTTAATTTATTTCAGAGAAGTGAACTTGGCACTTAACGTTTACAGAACTTAACCTTGTCAAAGCAACAAGATGACTTGACAACGCGTCAACAAACCATTTACAGTGTAGTTCTCCTAAAGAGAACCGGAAAGATTTAAAATTAGGTCATTAAAAAAACAAGGGAATGGGTCTTGAAAACTGGAGGTAGACTAAACTCAACTTTACACAAGAAACTGAGTTGAAGCTAATACTTTATGATGCCATTAAATGCTCTTTTCAAATGATTTAATGATTTTATTTTTACGCGAACAATTTCTAATTTATACAGTTTGACTGGACAGTCTTGGCTTTGTCCCCCGGCTGTTGACTCGAGTTTGACCTTAGTTCAATAAGAAGATGGTGGGTGGGCTCTTGAAGCCACCACAGAGCCTCAGGTGTCAACTGAGGACTCAGGGATTTAAACCCAACATCTTGAACACTCGGAGGGTCTTACCTGAAAGATGTTGCAGAGACGCCCTCAAGCTGTATAATAATAATACACAATAGTAGATCAGAGAATGGAATAATCTCTTTATTCATTATCCTGTTTCCACACACAGCGACGTATCCGTAATCAGGTCTATTCTCCAGCTACATTACGGCCGTGGTTTTCCAGCCGTGCAGCCCCGGAGCTTTGTCTCATCAACAGCAGCTGTACTGTAGTTCCTACACACTCCGGCCCCATGAATAATTCATGCAGCCAAACTGAAACAAGAGAGCACAAAATGAATACCAATGGACATGTCCTGACAGGAGAGCGTTTGGCCACAGGCCTTGTGTATTTCTCTTTGCCTCTTTCTCCCTCACTCTGTCTCTTTCTGTCCAATATGTGTGCGTTTACTTTTGTTAGGGACGGTCTCCCGTGTTGAATGAACCTGATATTTTTTCCCGTCTACCCCGCCGCGGCCGCACTTCTCTCGCTCCAAACAAAAAGTTTTTTTCCGCCGTCAGTGTTTGACTGCAGATGAATATTGCCTAGCCCCTGTTTTGTCCTGCTGTCTGGCTGCTAGATAACCATTTGTCTGATTGTGGGAGGCAAGAATACTCCCCATCAGTTAGACTGCGCTCAGATCATCCGTTACACAAGCCTACCGTCTTTTTTTTCTCCCTCTCCCTGCCTCTCTTCATTTCTCAGATTATCTTTCTGTCTTTCCTCGCCCTCTTCCCCCTCCATCTTGTCTTCTGGTGGGGGCTTGTCATTCATCAAACAGCCACATCTGTGAGGTGTCAGCTCGCTCTGATGAATGACTCAGATGAGAGAATGCTAAATGAACGAGGTAAACAAGAAAGCTGGGTAATTATTAGAAAAGCCCCAGTTTCAGTTTACCGCTGTTTATTATTTATTTTGGCGGCTGAGGGCAGAACGCTCTAATTGGAGAGTTGAACAAGTCGAGAATGCCTCTTCTTTAAGTCATGCAGGATTAACACTCAAAATGTGGTTTTGTTTCTTCCAGCGAGCCTTGTTAGTAATTCATATTCTTTTCATTTCTCCCCTCGAACGAGTGAAGTCTTATTTTCTGCTGTAATGCCGTACACTCCTACCTTTACACTTTGTTTTTTTGATCCTGCACCTGCAGTACATCTTCACCATTTCCAATTTCTTTTCCCTTTTCTCACTCTCTCTGTTCTTGCCCGTGTCTCTCCAGGGTGCCCTGCCGTTTGATGATGACAACCTGAGGAATCTTCTGGAGAAGGTGAAGTTGGGAGTGTTTCACATGCCACACTTCATCCCGCCAGACTGTCAGAACCTGCTCCGCGGCATGATTGAAGTGGATGCTACCAAAAGACTAACGGTCAGTGCAGCTGAAAGACTGGACCATTTCAATTATGCTCATATATTGATGTGTGCTTTTGGTTTTTCGTGGTTTTAGAATAATATGGGAGACAACAATTTCCAGGCATGGCCTGCTCTGTGTGTGTGTGTGTGCGTGTGCGTGTGCGTGTGTGTGTGTGTGTGTGTGTGTGTGTGCAATGAGGCCTGAATTCTATCCGTACTGAATATTTTTTATTCATAGTCCCGAACCAGCCAGCTTTATTAAAAAATGTTGTAGAAGCAGCGAAACACATTTAGATGTTATTTCAGACAATATTCAGAACCCAGACATGTCAGGTTTGGGTTAACAGAGGAAAATCATTATTTTGCAAATTCACAGCAAGCTGGAAAAAACGCTCGAAGCTGAGAGCAAGATGCAAAGATACACTTTTAAACTGAAGTGGCTAATGTCAAGAAGACACCGACGGAAAGCCAACCATTCTAGTCTTGTCTTGTTTCTTTCTGCCCTCCCTTGTGTTCCAAACGTGTTTTCCTCATCCCCAATTCCGTTTGGGTTCCTCCTCAAGTACGGGGTGTGAATTCAGCAGAGGACCGTTGTTTGTGTACTCTCCCTCTGCACTGTTTAGTGCACTCTTCACAATGCCAGGCCCCTTCTGCACAGCAACTGATCACCTTGGCAAGTTGGCTGGAGAACTCAGAGATGTGAAGGGCAGACAGTCAGGATAGAGAGAGAGAGAGAGAGAGAGAGAGAGGGAGAGAGAGGGAGAGGGAGAGAGAGAAAGGGAAATGTAAATAATGTAAGTGCAGCCATAGAGCTCAGAAGTTCAGACTTCACAGTAAGACGGAGCTGCTCTTTGTTCTTGTCCTGCTTTTCACATTCACACAATGCACATGGACACAGAAATGCTTGTAAGTTAGTGTAGCTGCACACACAAGAACTCAGGTTTTTGCATGCATACTGTATGCACACACCTCTCCAGGTATCTTTGTGGATCAGTGCATACAACAAATTTATGTTCATGGACTGAAAAATGTCTTTGCACCTGTAATTTGAAGCTGTTGCTCTATTTCCTTACTGCTTAGCTTATCTTTCACAGGCCCTGCTCAGACCTGGTATTGCGTCCTTCCTGAGAGATCCGATCACAAGTGGACAGCGTTGAGTTCTTCTGTTCACACCCGGCAATAGAATGTGACCACTTGTGATCTGATCTCACTTCCTCCGCTCTATGTGCAAATAAACACGTACGTCGTTTGTGTCCGCAAAGAGCAAACTTTGTTGTTTTTACCCAGTTTGAATCTACAGATGTGTCCAATGATGTTTTTGTCATTTGTCGGCACGAGCGAAGTCCGGACAAACTGGATTTAAGAAGTATCGTGTATTATGCATTGGTTTTGATATTGTGGCGCTGGCTACAAACAAATCAGGGTATGGGCACAGAGGGAAACTAGCAGATCAGAGGACATCTGTTGAGTGGGCGGTTCTTCGTATGTGGCACAGAAGACATTTGCATTTGCACTGTGAAAATGTGGCTGCTTTGAGACCTGCACTCAGCGCTGACCACTTGATGGACGAATGGATTCCTCAGGATGGATGTTACAGTGTGGGAATGATTTAAACTTATAGGAATTAAAAAAACCCAACTGAAAGCTCAGAAATCTACAAAGAAAGAGATGCATGGGCACTAACGACCTAAAGCCTGTGTTGAAACATCAGCCAAAGCCCCCACCTCTTTGGTATGCTGTATGTACACTATATGCCTTATTTTTTTCTGTGCTCTGCGCCTGACGAGGACAGGTCACCCTGAGATCCCCTAGATATGTCCACCGGCCTCCAGCGCTGTCCTCCACAAAGCGTTACACACAGTCAGAGCTGCTGGGAGAGAATATGCCACCTGTCTGCTCCTCTCTCAGGCACGGGCCACGCAAACAGAGCTCTGGGGGGGATGAGCCGTAACCTTACAGAAAGTCAAATAGCCCCTGTTAAAGTGTGTGCTTGGAGTTTAGCGGTGATCGCCCACTTCTGGATGAAGACGGGTGCATTAAAGGGTGGAAGAACATGTTGTTTTGCTCTGGATTATTTCTAATGATGTTGACAGTAGCTCCCTGAATCAAATCAATAGGGTAATCAAACCATAACTACTGGCTGTATTTCAGTATGTCTATTGTCACCGTCTGTTAATTAGATTTTGTTAGTAGATGCACACACACACATTAAGTCGCGGCCCCCACAGAGTCTGAGTGGGAGGGCATGTACGCAGGTTTAAGAGGCTTAGCTGCGTAAAAGCCTTTCTCTTAATTTCCTGTCTGTGTAGTCGGGGCCCCGGAGGCGCCCGGAACAACCACCTCAACAGTCATCTCATCTCCGCCATTGAAATCAACACAGACGCCCTGGAAGGATCTTCTTCCTCGTGATCCCAGGATAATGAAGAGCATTGGCTAGCTTATGATGTTAAAGAGCGGTTCATCACAGACACATGATGCCCCCACTGGCACGGCACAGATAAATTACAGAGGTTGCTGGAATGAAAATATAGGAAGCGTATGTGAGTGTGTGTTTTGTGTTTCAAATAAAATTGACCTCTTTCACTGCGGTTAATTTGGACAGATGGAATGAAACTCTTAGCTTCCATCATCGTGACCCTCCGGACTTCCATTTACCAATCTTGTTGCGTAGCGACTCTGGATCGCTTTACTTTGTTTTCCTTGATGCGCCGCACTTCAGTGATCCCTCTGCCACAGCTCGCTCACTATCGCTGCCTCACAACCACGTCCACGAAGGCAGCGAGCGGAGGTTACACAAAGTGAGGTTTAATCATTTAAAAGCTTGAAGCTTTTTGAAAAACAAATAAACAATGAACTCTCTTTGCCTGAATAAACGATGTATGAATGAGACATTACACATTCTGAGACTTAATTAATGATAAATACATGTACATGCACTCGTACGCACTCCACGCCGCTCTCCTGCCGCAGCAACTTTCCCGTCTGCCTGAGTGAAAGCAGCCGGAATTGCTACTGTCACATTTAGAGACTGATTGATGTGATACTGCATTTCAAACCACATCACTTTCAAGCCTGCCTGTGATATCGGTCTCTTGCCTCCAGGCCTTCAATAAAAGTCAGAGAGAGTAGGTCACCCACCGGCCTGTATCTGACAGTCAGGGTGTCTCCGTCAATACTGTGACCTCTGTGGAAGCAGACAGGATTCACCTACACTCAGCTGCCCGCCCGTCTCTGCGACTGTACCAACATCACACGGAGGCATTTATCAGCTCTAAAGCGTAGAGGTCGATCCTCCGGGAATGGCGAGCGCGTCGTGGCATTGCCGGCCACACACACTCAAGAACTGTGCCCTCTAAATAAGTGACGATAATTAGAGCTGCTATGTGCATCTCGTGCGGTTCCACAGCAACAGCAGGAGCAAATTAAAAAGTCCCGGCAGTGACATTGATCCTGTTTTCCTCTGTGGGCAGTTAAAACACTGTGGAGTCATTCTAATAGACATCTTCCCTCGTTGCTCGCTGTTTTCTGTCTCTTCTGTTTTTCCATTCTTGGGGAAAAGGTCCATGTCGACAGGGTTGGAGACTATCATGGTTGGGTCGTGAAATTCTGCACCAATCAGGCAGCGGTTCCTACCCGGCTGGTTCCTAGTGAACCGGATCACGACGCAGATTTCAGTGCCTCATTTACACCTGAGCTATGAGCTGAGATAGTCGCCCCGCTTACAAGCAACATAAACATCACCACGTGTGCTTATTTAACGTTTAAACATTAATGTTCGCCTACAGCTAGCTCGTAGCTGCCTCAAACTCCGGTCGACACAAAATCAAAATGTCCAAAGCTGAAGGGTTGAAAGTGTGGCTGCATTTCAGGTGAAAGGACTCCGACAGCATGCATTCAATGTTTGAAAATGATTCTGTAAAGGGAGGAACGCAACAAACGTAATAAATAAACCTGTCGACGCATATTCACGTCAGCCGGCAGTGTGGGCGCCCCAGGGTCCGAGGGTGGGGAGACAATTAATGAGAAGTTTAGAGCTGAAGTCTTTTGCTGTATTAAGCACTGAAACTGTTATTATTTCTACTATTTCATACATTATGTGATGTTTGTGTAAATTTGTTGAAAGTTTGGCACTTATATATTTAAATTTAAGTATACATCAAACTGTTTACATGTTATATATTCAATTTTTTACCTCAAATTTTTAATCAATAAAAAAAGACATTCTATCATTGCCAGTATCTGTCCTGGCACCTGTACAATTTTAAAACTATTGATTTGGCCCCTGTCTCATGGCTCCTAAGTGGGGGTCCAGTAGAAAGTTCCAAAGATGTCATAGGATCATGTCCCAGCTACGACCTGTGTTTACTAACCAACCAATAGAACTGCTGCGTGAAATGGCGCACCACAGCACTGTTAACCACTCCAGCTCATAAAGTCTGTCACCCAGCTCTATTAGATTCATGTTGCACAGTGTTGCTCGCAATAACCTTCTAACCCTGCTGAGATCTCACAGTCCGTCGGTGCCTGAAGAGTCATGGAGAGTGAGAATGGGAGATTCCCTTTAGACCAGAGGGCTCGGCAGGGTCAACAGTGTGTGTGAGGGGAGATAATATCCTCCGTATATATAACTCACTGCTATCTCACGCTTTTTTTTCCTCAGCAATATTTCTCCCGTTGGTGGTATGAATATTTGAAGAGCTCATTATTTACCTTCAATCCGGCTGTGTTGTCCTGTTGCGTAAGCTCCAGGTCTTTGCACGACATTCTGCACCGAACATTTCCACACACACACACACTTTCTGAGGATTTTCCTATCTTCAAAAAAGATGATGATGATTCACTTAAAGTTTGGGGACTGACTGTGTGTTTTCTCTTTTCTTTTACAGTTAGAACAGATCCAGAAGCACACGTGGTACATGTAAGTATTTTTCCTTTTTGTTTCTACCCCCTTCTCCTCCTCCTTCTCCTCCTCCTCCTTCTCCTCCTCCTTCTCCTCCTCCTCTTGCAGCCCGTTCTGCAGGACTCACAGACCTGAGGGGAGCTACCGCATGATAAACGACTTTCTGCTCCGGCGCTGTACACGAGAGTACCTTTGAGTGGGGCATGACTCCACTCTCGGGGATGTGGGGGTAAATTGGTAGTGCATGAAAGAGGACGCGCCACATATGCTAGGCTGAGCAGGGAGCAGGGGAGGAGGAGGGGAGAACGAGCAGGGATGAAGGGGAGAGGGTGAACCCACCTAACCTCTGAGTTCCCACCATTTAACTTTCATAACAGAGTGTTTCCACCTTTTACGACCGACATAAATCTTTTAAGGACATTTGTAGTGCATGTCAGTGTGTTTGATGTCCGAATCTTGCATGTGGAGATATTTCTTGACATCCTCCCCCTAATTATCACATTATCACCATTTAGAAGTTGCAGCGGACCCATTTAGAAGTCATTCAAAGACAGGATTTTTTTTTTCCCACCTCTCTCCCAAAAGAAAACCTGTGAATCATGGAGGTTGGAGGTTGTGAGTCCTGTAAGAGGAACAGAGTTATGGTTTCTGTCGTGCGCTGAGAGATCATGCAAACAGGCAGCGAGACTGATAAAAGAAACAAGAGCAGACAAGAAGAGACGAGCTTGGAGAGAAGAGTAATGTGGTGTAACTGAGGAAGATGCCTGACTCTCTCTCTCTCTCTCTCTCTCTGACTGGCTGACGCATAAATGAATTAATGAATGAAAGAAAGGGGATTTTTTTTTGTTAAACAAATGCGGCTACTAGTTAGTAGTTCATGGCATTGAAACTACAACTTTAAATTTTTTCAGATTGTCCACTCATTATTTGT